AAAAAAGTACAGATGTTTGCAATAAAATTAGTGGGTTAAGCTACGGCGATAGGTTGAGGGAACTGGGTCTAAAAAAAAAAATTAGAAGACGGAAAAAAACCAAGAGACATGATCACAACATAGAAGATAACGAGGGGAATCGATAAGGTGAACAAGGACAGCTTCTTTAAAGTGAAAGTATGACAATAGCACACAAGTGGAAGCTGGAAACGCTAAATGAGTCGAAGAAAAGGAAGGAAATACTTGTACCTTCTACGGGCGGTCAACAAGTGGAGTATAAATGCACTGATAGAAGTTGGGGAAGCCACCTCCATCCACAACTTCAAGGTCAGATTGGACAAAGAATTTGAATGACAGTGTAGTTAAAGTGTTACGCAACAGGATCAACCAGGCCGGTCGGCCGAGCCGGTCGGCCGAGCGGACAGCATGGTGGACTTGTGATCCTGTGGTCCTGGGTTCGATCCCAGACGCGGCGAGAAACAATGGGCAGAGTTTCTTTCACCCTATGCTCCTGTTACCTAGCAGTAAAATAGGTACCTGGGTGTTAGTCAGCTGTCACGGGCTGCTTCCTGGGCGTGGAGGTCTGGTCGAGGACCGGGCCGCGGGGACACTAAAAAAGCCCCGAAATCATCTCAAGATAACCTCAAGAAGGCTGTGATTCATATATCAGGTTGCGGAGCAGCCGCGTCAAACAGCCTGGCTGACCAGTCCAGCAACGAGGAGGCCTGGTCGACGACCGGGCCGCGGGGACGCTAAGCCCCGGAAAAACTCCTAGGTAACCCCAATTTAGGTCTGTAGGCGAGGTCAGCCAGACCTCGGTCCCCTGTACTCAGTGATGAGGAGTAAGCACCAGTCTCATTGCTTAGTTTAGATCGGGTTTCTTCCCGGTTCTTAGAGACATCAGATCGAGGAGTGAGAAGGTTATATAGGGCATAAGAGATGCCTGTGGCGAGTGGATGTGATAAGGCAAGGTTGATTCCTTCAGAGTGGTCTTCGTCATGAGAACGTCAAGGTCTCTGTGGAGGTTATCAGATTATCCCTTTTTATACTGTTACTCCTCTTCTCACTGGTGATAAGAGGAAAGTGAAACTTGTGAATGGAGAGAGAGGGCATAGTGGGTGAGGGAATGAGGAGGTATGATGGGGAAGGAGGGAGGAATTGCGATGAGGAATGGGAAAAAACGAGGGGTGAGGAAGGGATGGCAGGAAGGAGGGAGGAAAGGCAAGGAGGGGAGGGAGAGAGGGACAGGAAGGTGGGAGTGGATGAGAGGGAGGGAGGGAGGAGGGACAGGAAGGTGAGGGAGGGAGGGAGGGAGGAAGGTGGGAGGGAGGGAGGGAGGGAGGGAGGGGGAGGGAGGGAGGAGGGAGGGAGGGAGGGAGGGAGGGAGGGAGGGAGGGAGGGAGAGAGAGGAGGGAGGGAGGGAGGGAGGGGGAGGAGGGAGGGAGAGAGGGAGGGAGGGAGGGAGGGGGAGAGGGAGGGAGGGAGGGAGGAGGGAGGGAGGGAGAGAGGGAGGGAGAGAGGGAGGGAGGGAGGGAGGGAGGGAGAGAGGGAGGGAGGGAGGGAGGGAGGGAGGGAGAGAGGGAGGGAGGTATATCAAACAAAACGTCAGGAAGTGTGCTGACCAAGGACTAAGTGATCGACCCCAAGCATCAACACCATCACACCACCACTATCACCACCCTCACACACCACAACTACCACACCACAACCATCACTTCACAACCATCACTTCACAACCATCACTTCACACCACCACCACCACCACTACACACTACAACCATCACCACCACTACACACTACAACCATCACTTCACACCACCACCACCACACACCATCACCACCACCACCACCACACACCATCACCACCACCACACACCATCACCACCACCACACACCACAACCACCACCACACACCACAACCACCACCACACACCACAACCACCACCACCACAACCACATTCCACAAGCACACACCACCCACCACACAAGTACACTACCACACACACCAGACAACCACAACCACCACCACCACCACCACCGTGCTCCACTAGCTGAGAGCCACTATTGAGAACAGTAGAGCGTTACTAGAAGACCTGGACAAATGCCAAGAGTAGCCTGGTACACAGCTGTCAAAATTCAATACCAAGTATAAGGTGATGGACACGGCCAAGGAAGATCGGAAATCCAAGAGGATTCTCCCCCATCAGGGAAACGTAGCTGTAAACATCAGAAAATATAAGACTTGAAAGTGAATTATAAATTCAACATTAACATCAGAGGGCTATACTTTATCTCAAATTATTCCCCACCACATACACACCACTGCCATCACTCCACTGGCCATACATCATACCCCCAACACCACTATACACCACCACTATACACCACCATACACTGCCCTTGGGAAACTTGTAATTATCGACCAATTATCTAAACATGTGTAGGGTAAAGTAGGGTAAAACTAACCTGTCTCACGACGGTCTAAACCCAGCTCACGTTCCCTATTGGTGGGTTATCTTGGTTATCTTGAGATAATTTCGGGGCTTAGTGTCCCCGCGGCCCGGACCTCGACCAGGCCTCCACCCACAAGAAAGCAGCCCGTGACAGCTGACTAACTCCCAGGTACCTATTTTACTACTAGGTAACAGGCGCATCAGGGTGAAAGAAACTCTGCCCATTGTTTCTCGCCAGCGCCTGGGATCGAACCCGGGACCACAGGATCACGCGTCCAGTGTTCTGTTCGCTCAGCCACCGGCTCCCCATGGTAAAGTATTGGAAGTACCCACTCACTCGAAATCAAGTATTATAATATTAATACGATCAATTAATTAAAAGTTCACACAAGAAGAAGTTGCCAGTGTAGTAAGTAGTCTCTGGCAGAACTTGTTTATGCCCATAACATTATTTTTTGTATGATGAAAATAAGAGTAGAAGCGACATATAACTGCATGCTCAGACACATGTATAATGTGACCATTGACCATAGGAGGCCTGGTCGGGGACCGAGCCGCAGGGACGTTGAGCCCCGAAATCATCGTAAGGTAAGGTAAAAATGATTGTTACAATTGTAATGACATTAAAAAGATACCATTCGACTAGGAATTCGAACGTCAGAATAGTTGTAATAACGCCTCAGGTACAGGCAGGACGAGAGCTAGATTCAGATTTCTGGAATCTGGCTAGAATCTGCCTCACAGATTCTGGCTAGAATCAGGAATCTGGCTACACAGAACCCCCTCTGGTTAGAATCCACTTTCTATGATGAAAACCAGGAAAGTGGAGGTAGACTCCACTTTCCCCTAGTCATGCACAGTTATGTAAGGTCAGCTCTCCTCACTGCGTCTCCCTCACACCACGGCTATCCTTAGCCTCAGATCTAATGAGGGTTCACTGCTGACGTCACGTCATCCTGCTGATGAGGTGTCATGGTGGACAACAATAGGCCAACGGGTCAAGAACTCGCTCTTTTTGTCTCCTGGAGTAGGGGCTGGTCGGGGTCGAGGGGGAGATGAGGAGCCAGGGGGAAGGGGGTCGAGGGGTGGAGAGGTGGGAGTGAGGAGGCAGCCACTTTGTAAATATAAAGAGCAAAGGGAGGTGGTAAGGGTTGGTGGCACTTGACGGAAACAGCTGACGACGACGATGTTTGGTCATGTGGATAACCCTTCCTGTATATTGTGCTGGCGGGGCAGGCCAGGTCAGCGGTGAGGCGCGCCTCTCCAGTCTCCTCTCGTTGTTTGAGATTCAGCTACTGGGAACAAAACGTTCCAAGTAGCACGGGCTATGGTGAGCCCGTAGGAGACTTACCTGGCACAGGAGCGCGGCCTGTAACTCCTCTCAGTCTGCTCTCATTGTTGTATACAGTGTGTAGAGGTGTACGGATGACGCGTGTGTTTACTTACTATTTGTATCTGCAGAATCGAGCTTTTAGCTCTTGGCCTCCGCCTTTCGAACCAATTTATTTTTCCTCTATTATGTCTACTACATATATTTCTCCATCACTCGCGCACACATACAAACCCCAGGAAGCAGCCCGTAGCGGCTGCTCCCAGGTATTTATTTACTGCTAGGTGAACAGAGGCATCAGGGTGAAAGCTACTCTACCCATTTGTTTCTGGCTCTGCTGGGGATCGACCTCGGGCCTTTAGGACTACGACCCCAGTGCGTTACACAGCACCGCTCCTGTGCCAGGTAAGTTCACTACGGGCTCACCATAGCCCGTGCTACTTGGAACTTGTTCCGAGTAGCTGAATCTATAACAACAACAACCACCCAGTGTGCTGTCTACTCACTATCTCACTATGTCCTCCACTATTGTCCTGCACCTGGAACACCTCCAGGTGCTCCACTATTATCAACCTGATTACTATCTCCAGTATTTTACATGGAATACTTGTCAGTGACACTGTTCTGTAATTTAATGTCTCCTGTGTATCCGCCTTTTTGAATATTGGAATTACATTTGTCTTTTTCCAGTGAGAGATTTCCTGTCTCAAGTGTTTTACTGAGAACACAAGTTAGCAGGTGAAAAAGTACCTCTGCAGCCTCCTTCAGAAGCTTCAAGGTTTGATGGTGTTGATTAGTGTGTAGCAGGATATAATTTCACTGGCAAGAACTTGTCTTCACACAAAGTGCATCATATTTGTACGCTAGCAATAGTCATATAAACGCCATGTTTTAATGATATGTAGCTTAAAATCATTTGAAATGTACACTTTTCTGGGCTAATGAGAAATTGAGTCGATAGATTAGGTGGGTTGGTGGGTAGGGTTGTACTCTTTGGTAAAGATTCAACACATTGTGACGTCCACACAAGCAGACAATAAACATTACTGACGGAAGTTTTACATTATGAGTAGAAGTATTAACTGTTACAATGCAAAAAAAAAAAACATTGCTTACATGATTTAAATTTCAGTTCAGACTTGTACATACAAATTTGAATAGGTTAAAGAGGGATGATGACTGGGCCTCCTTAGCATGTCACATGTGAGTTGACTTACCTGAGGTGAAGAGGACGATGGCCTTGAGGCAGGAGTACTCGGCGGAGTCCACGTGGAGAGCCTTCAACTTCTCCACCTGCTCCTGGAAGATCCGGATGTGGTCCATGAAGGCAACGACTCTGTCGGCCGCCATGGGCGAGGCGTGGAGGCCTGCAGCAGCCAGCAGCGGCGCCACGTGAAGGGGCATGGAGCACTGGGAGGCGTTCAGCACGAAGAGCTCAGACCAGACCAGTCGCAGCAGCGCTACTTGGTCCGTTACCTGCAGCTCGGGAAAGAAGGGGATGTTCTTGGCCCAGCCCACGGCCGAGAAGAGGAGTCGGGACGCCAGCTCGCAGATGTTGTCAACACCCATGATGTTGTTGGCGTTCATACACTGGCCGTAGGGCGAGGTGGGGAAGGGCTCGGCGCGCAGCAACAGGGAGATGTAGGAGGACAGGTAAGTGTGGCCGTTAAGTGTGTCGCCATTGGCTATAAACTGACTGGGCATCCCCATTCCTTGTGATGGTGGGATGCGGCCTCGCTGCACAGCTGGAAAGAAACGTGCAAGACAGGTTAGAACTATATATATTTATACACGATAACAAATCTCCACCAAACAACTTATCAGCCTAACATATAAAAGTTTAGGGTTTGACCAAGAGTGAAGAAGAGATTAAAACACCGCTCACCTCCGCCATACATCCTGCAACAGTTGGACAAAGTTAGGTCAGCTCTTGCACAGTCAGATAAAGACTAATGGGCATTCATATTCACCCGAAAGCCATCAGTGTACAGCAATTTGGATTCACGGGCGGAAATGTGTCTGGAGTGGTGACACCAGTCAGGAGACTAGTTCGATGTCACTGAAGGTATTTTTATATTTAATCTTCAAAAGGAATGAGGGGGTCCGCCAAGCCCGGAGTGCCTGCTGGCGTCATACACACACACGAGGCTGCTGTATAACACTGTGTGGGGCAGCTTCTGAGCTCCCTCAGGTTAACCTATTGTATTTGTTGACATACAATCCGGCAGCCAGAGGGGGAACCAACAGCGTGGTTAATAAAACTGGTGTTGGGAGAGACGGGTGGACACAGATGACAAATTATATTGTGTTGGCGGGGTACCACAAGGAATGCCATGCCTCCCCCACACTCCCTCCATCAGTGTCTTTCTCCCTCAGTGTCTAGACCCCACCTCACGGGGGTGCCTCCCTCTCCCACTCCATCAGTGTCTCCCTCCCTCAGAGTGTTCCTCACTCCCTCATAGTGTCTCCCCCCCCCGGAAAGTTCACACAGACACACCCATTGACAATACCATTAATAAATTACCTCAGCGTTCACTGCATAAACCATCCATCGACAACAATGAATCTAATGTTTTTAAAATGATGTTACAGGTGGAATTTAAATAATAGTAATTATGTAACCGTATTAACCTTTTATTGCATTTGTTCTTTGTTTTGCAAGTTTTTGTTTTGTAACTCTTGCGCAGTGTTGACAAAATTAGAATCTTAATAATTTTGTTAATTAGGATTTACGTTAATTTATTATAAGTTGGGCTATATTTGGATGAGATATTTTTTGTTTTAAGGACTGAAAGTAGTAGAGCTTTGCTGAGGGGGGGGGGGGGATTAAACAGTATGGAGGAGGGAAGCTTGAGACACCTCTTCCTCCTCCCGTGTCACATCTCCTTGCCCCCCCCCCCCTTCCTTCATGGGGTGAGAGGGGAACGGAGAAACAGGGTGCCACCCTTTGGAATGGTCAATTGAGGAGATTCCGGAGCCTTACCACGAACACTCAACTACACATGTATATATAACATTAATAATTGTGTAATTAGCGTCAAAAGATTGTTATTTGCTTAGCTAAACGAACTAGGGGGTTCAATTCCTGAACCGATTATGTGCCTTTGTAACCCTTTACACCACCGCCCACGGCATGGGTATAGGGTGCATAATAAAGAAAGAAAGAAAGAAAGAAAGGTAAAATTGTACAAGGCTCTAGTCCGGCCGCATCTAGAGTATCCCCCAGTACCACTACACACACCTTAAAGAAACCTAACATGCAAAAACTACAAGCAATGCAGAACAAGGCGCTAAGAAGAGCAGCAAAACACCGTCCACCATATGATCAGACAATCCAGGAGCTCCATGAACTCCTGAACACACAACCACTAAACGGCAGACTACAGCACCTCGCTACCACACAATCGAAATGTTAGATGATCCAATGCTAGGTAGACTGCCTCACTCCCACAGTTGGTGGCCCAAGAGAGAGAATCCTACAGAATAATAATACAAATATAATACAGAATACAAATTCAGACAAGAACACCCCTCCCCCCTCCCCCTCAAACAAATAATAAAAAGACTTTGAACAAAACATGTGTGAAAGTGTGTATATGTGAATGCTACACAGTATCCATCTCTAGACATCAGTGTATGTTGAAATGCACGCGAAGAACCTTGTACAAACTTCCTGCTAACTGGTGAAACAAAGCAAATTTAGCTTAGCTGGTGGGAACACACACACACACACACACACACACACACACACACACACACACACACACACACACACGTACGTCGTGTCACCAAGATGAAATGCTCGCATGTCACTGTATTCTTCTAATTACTACTACTGTATTTTAACTTCTACTGTATTCCTCATTTCTAAACTTATTCCTTCAACTTTACCCAACCCCAATAGTCTCCCTGGCGTGGTGCCTTCTTCTGATAATTACTTACTTTACCCAACCCTCTAAAAATAATGCATGTCTTAAGTGTGTGTGGAGGGGAGGGGGAGGGGGGGTTGACGGGCACCACCCCAGGTCACGGGGCCCCGCACTCTGATAAGGCACCCCCTTCCAGGTCAAGGGGCCCGGGCCCTGATAAGACACCCCCCCCCCAGGTCAAGGGGCCCGGGCCCTGATAAGACACCCCCCCAGGTCAAGGGGCCCGGGCACTGATAAGACACCACCTCCAGGTCAAGGGGCCCCGGGCCCTGATAAGACACCCCCCCCCAGGTCAAGGGGCCCGGGCCCTGATAAGACACCCTCCCCCAGGTCAAGGGGCCCGGGCACTGATAAGACACCACCCCCAGGTCAAGGAGCCCGGGCCCTGATAAGCCCCCCCCCCCACCCCCCAGGTCACGGGGCCCCGCGCCTTACCTCGTGCCCCAAGAAGATTACATTTAAAAGTGTAATTGGTGTAATGTTAAGACAAACGTTGGGCTGGAACCCGTGTCAATATTTGCTCTGGCTGCTCCGACCGAGCGGGGGGCCTCCGTCTCCAAGCGACTTGGAAGACGACCGTACCAGCATAACAGACCATTTTTCTCCTTTGGCAGTATTCTATAGTACCTTAGTATACGGTACTAAGTTACTGTAGGTCAGCCCGTCTTTAGCAGTGTACGGTGCTGCAGGTCTGCCGGGTTGCTCCTATTCACAGGCCGAGATGAAATATTCGCAAGTTTCGAAATCCACAAATTTAGTATTTTGTGGCCGCCAGATCCTAATGTAATATTGGGGAATACATCAGCAAGGGTCGACAGTGTGTGTTAGGGAGTCCGGGACGCTAATGATAACATATTGCCCCCTGGATCAAGAAGGCTGTGATGCCGGGCAAGTTGGGAGGGTTCAATTCTTACCTTAGGCTTAGGTCAGCTCTACAACGCTTCCTATTTTCTTCTGGGGGAAAAGGTCTATAAGTATTCTTTGTCTTAATCTAGATGTGGTTAGAGTGTTGCCATTCGTGGACGTCTGTGTTAGAAAGGACGAGCAAATATAACAATTGCTATTTTCACCTTCCCCCCCCCCCCGCCACTTCTTTGTCTCCCCTTCCCTCCCTCCCTCCCTCCCTCCCTCCCTCCCTCCCACACTCACTCACTCACTCACTCACTCACTCACTCACTCACTCACTCGTAAAGAACTTACAGTTCATGGGAAACTATGCATATATTATAGCGGGATACTTGGTTTAATGCTGTCTCGACACACGGGATGCTTGGCCTAATATTATCACTTTGTGCAATCCCCCCTGGTTCCGGGGATCGGTGTACCCCACGGCCCGGTCTTCTGATTGGTGGTCTGTCAACTAGCTGGTCGCAGTCTGACCACATCCCGGTTGATCAGTTATCATTTGGAGATGTTTCTCTAGTTCTCTTTTGAACACCGTGAGAGGTCGGCTAATGATTTCCCTCGTATTTAGAGGGAGAGTGTTGAAAAGTGTTGGGCCCCTTGATGTTGATAGAATAGTGGTGATGGTAGGCAAGTGGGTTTGGAGAGACGCCAGATATGTATATATTATGGCATGTAGAGTATAAATGTGGATGGAAGGTTAGTTTATGTTCAGCTATTTTTCAACAAAAAGTAAAATAATAATAATAATAATAATAATAATAATAATAATAATAATAATTCTTTGAAAAGTATTCCGAGATAATGAACTAAGCCTTAAAATTGCCTCCAACCAATGCAGTTATGGAGAATTTACAACTTTAAAGCTATTGGGACTGCCATGATAAAATTTACATAGGACTGTATTGATATGATTTAAAGACATAATTTATTCCAAATCTAAATTAAATATTTTGAGCAGTTGTCAATACATGTATAAACAAATTACATGATGTTGTATGTCGGTGCGTTCCATCCAGTGAGGTGTTATGGCTTCTCTCCTGTCTGAGGTGTTATGGCTTCTCTCCTGTCTGACTTACTGTTGGGAGCACCATACTTCTGACGGTAGTGATGGGATTACCTAGGCCTAGTTCAATTTCATCTTTGTTACACGTTAAGTACTCATTTAGCTGTGGTTGCGGGGGGGGGGGGTTGAGCTTCGGCGCTTTGGTCCCGCCTCTCAACTGTTAATCAATTCCGTTCGCAATATCTCAGTGTCATGATAATTTTTTTTGTAATAGACGGGATCCAAATGAAAGCTTTTTGACATTTTTGTTCTGTGCTTTCAGGTGTGTTGCTGTCAGTGTTGCTGAAGTCTTCAGGTCTACAGAACAGACCTGGAATCATAATTAGAAGTATGGCTTCTTACATTACTGGTTTCCTAGTGGTGATAGTAACTAGCGCAGCTTGGTAAGTTATCCTAGAGTTGAAGTATTCAAGTACTTCTGTGAACCCTAAATCCTCCTTAGAGCTCTCTTTTTTATTAACATACTCAAGGTAAATGTTAATTTATGCAGGTGGCCTAAACTATATGAAGGGTTACGTAGTGTGTGAAGGACTAGCAACGTGATTCTAAAAATCCCCATCACACAGGATGGTTAGTCATACAGAGGCATGTGATCAGTAGTCTGCACTGGCAGACTCTGGGTGCATTATGAGGATATCAAGAACACGAGAGTGAATAACGTAATTGCAAAGCTCCAGGTACCTCATGCCAACTGGTCTGAAAGGTCTAATAACTGGGTATTCAGTGATGTAGTGTGGGAGATCATGCCCCAGTTCCTGCTCACAGAGTTTGCACCCGGAGTGCTCAGGATTGGGAGATCCGTCACCTGTAGCCACCTGCCACAGGTAACGGTAACCCAACCTGATCC